GCCCCATCCTCATTTCAGGGTACCTCGAAATAACAGCGTCATATCCCCTCTTGAAAGACAAAAACAATAACAAAAACCGTTGTTTCTCCCAAAATAAGCCAGAATAATATGAGTTCTGGATCTGCACTTTTCTAATATTTCGCAACGATTAAAAGCAATGAGATCGGAAACAGTGCCGAATTACATGAAACCTAGTGAAATCTGCGCAGTAGCCGTAGCGACTCGAATCAAGCCCTACAAGGGGTGTCTTCCTGGGCTTTCCACGTCATAGAAAACACAGTAATATATATGTATACATATCAGTAAAAAAGGCTCCAAGAACAATGTTACTTACGCGAACCAACAGGCACGGTCTTTCCCACGATATATTATATATCTCTAGCTATTTTGAAATTAACAATATGTGCTCCAGATTTCGCTGATTTTTTTCCACAATGTCTAGGTTACTGGCAGGTTTTCGGCGCTTGCCAGTACTTTCCCAAGGCATAACGATGAGCAGGACAAACCGTCATCTTCTCCGACTGTTCCTCAGTGATATCTAACAGACCAGCTCTTGCTAATATTAGTTCCCTCTCAGAAACACTTTCCCTCGACAAGTGGTGTTTAAAGAGATGTGCGCTGATATCAGCGTTACAGCTATTCAAAGCTACAAAATCTGTACACCCATGGCTATTTCCACATTTTCCCCTTGTAACACTTGAAAACGAACACAATTCTGCCATTCTTGAAGCAAACAGTTAGAATCTTCTCTATAAAAAGCTTATTCCCGTCGCAAAGTAAATATTTTGGACGTCTTACGCAAAACATTTGCAAATTAAATTATTTCAAATTAGCCCAATTAATGAAACGCTAAGGGAAAAAAAACACACACACACGAAAAAACAAGACATGAAGGAAAAAATAAAAATTAAAAGATAAAATTTGGAGGTGATATTCAAAATCAAAAGACGGCAATAAAAGTGAATAATACTTGTACTATACCTAACTGTATCACCTAAAAACAAGGACATTCCGACGAGCTTCTGCCTGAAATCGGCACTGCTGATATGTTTTCCATAAAACTACATTTTCTGTTACACGATAAGGTAAATTTTTAGTGTTAATTGAAATAAAAAGAAGTAATACTCCTGAAACTAACCATTTCTTTCGACAACTCGAAAATACCTGCGTGCGCTGTGGTCAAAAATGGATCCGTGATATCGATTCTCAATGTAAAGAGCCTGACACATGACTGAATCAACCCATTCTTGTGGAGATGTTCTCAAGCACAGATAAGACACGAGGTGCTACATATTTTGAATTAACGTTTCTTAATCTTTAAATGACAGCAATATTAGTTTTTTACAGCATAAGACAGCGGTCAAGACTAACTTAATAGAGTTTTGTCAACATGTTATAGCCAGCATGAGACAGTTAAATGATAATGTCACACAGATGTTCATTTCTACCTTCGTAATTGCTAAATTTAGGGCAAGTTTGGATAAATTTATGGACATCTTCACCTTAACAAAAGAACCGTGCTAGTTTTGAGAATAAGCACTGCCTCAAACATTGATTTTGAGCGAGAAATGGAGTAACCACAAATATACATAAATTAAGTCATATTCACTTTGAACATTGAAAATTAGTAAAGTTCATCGAGCTCCTGTAGCTCGAAGAGACTAGTTGCCAAAAATGTTTTTGTTGTTTTCGGCACACCAGCCCTAGTACGAAACACGGACAGTGGTGAGGACTCCAGATCCCGTTATACTTTTGAGAAAAGCGTCTTGGAACAACAGCACACTAGCTCAAAATTGGAAAGTGCTGTTTGTGTGGTATTTTCAAAACAGCGTAACTCTTCATTGTTTGTTCAGAATTTACATATTTTGCTACTAATCAACAGAAGAGATATAAGATGATACCATATGTCCAATTTATGCTATTTGAACAAGTGGGTAAGTTTTTGGAGCCTCCAGCGAAAAGCTGAAAATTAACTCTGAAATCAACAGTCACTTTTCTTTGTTTTTGACCACCCTCGCATCTCGTCGCCAAAAATTTGATAAAATAGCATTGCGAACCAAATAAATACAATTTTTGCCGATAGAATAGATCAAATATCTCACAGTAAAAATTTAAGGGAATTCTGTGATCGGCCGAAATTGGAGTGGTCGGTTCTTACGCGGACAGCCTCTTAATTTCCGGCAAAAGGGCATCAAAACTATTCTTTGTAAGTCATTCAATGGCGCCTTCAAATTCATCGTGACGCGAGCTCACACGAAGCTAAAGGGGCAAGGTTCACGCTATTTTAGGTGAAACTTGAAAGGGCAAGTTGGCGTTTGCCGTTTCACATAAACGCGATTCTAAATCTCTCCAACCTCCTTCCCAAGGGGAAGGAGGTTGAAATCTCTCTACATATTATTATCAATCGGGGGCAGAGGGCATCTAAGGACTTTGAGGGGAACACGGTTTTCAGGGGGAACAGAGGGGAATCAATAGTAGGAGAGTATAAAGGAAGGACTATAAGGTCCCTTGCTACAAAAAATGAAGGGTAGTGGCTCACATGTATTTTTATTTAAATGATACAAACAGGGTGTCATTTGCGTGGCGTTTTCATGCCTGGCTGAATTTGACCGTACGCACTTTTGGCATGAGGAATATCGATCGCGGTTTGACTTCTTCTTGGCGGTGTTCGCCATTGGCTGGATTTTCGTCTTGTGTGTGTTTCTTACATTCATCTTTATATCGGAATGGAATATAATAACCAGAAGGAACTGGAATATCTCGGTAGGTATATCAGTGCCGTTGATGTAAATCGAAAGTGAGTGGAATTTGTTTTGAGAAGTGTCTAAATTCAGATGAACCGTTAATTAGATCAACCAGTTAGGAATGACCCCTGATTACCAGTTTACGGTAGAATCATGTTAACCTGCAATGAAGCCACGAAGACCGCCAGTTTCAAGCTGACGAGTGATGCAATGATTCCAGACCCCTCACGGACCTTACGCTAGCTCACTCAGATTCGCTTGTCCTGCTGGCTTTTTGCAGGCCTCGCCATTTGTGTCACAGGGCTGGAGAAAACCTACTTGCAAGATAGAATCTCGACTCCCCAATGATTCTCAAAACTCCAAATAATTTGAATAATTCTACGCTGTTCTGTTTCATCCTCTATGCAGCTCGTAGTGTTCTACATTGTGTTTGTTTTCCTGTTTTTAATCTCCTCCTCTCTCATTGCGGACATTTTGAGGGACATCTATGATGCCAAATGGCACAAAATTCCTGGTCAGCAGCGGCTCACTAATGTTCTGACAACTTCTGTGGTAAGTACGCGCAAAAAGTGTTTGCAGTAGGTCGATGGGGGGGGGAAGGGAGGGGTATTCTCAGCATAAATATGATGGGGGTGATCCTACCCCCTGGATGAAATATTAGGGACTTTAAGCAAACCACGACGGCGACGGCAACGAGAACGTAGAAAAACAATAGATCTAATTGGCAGAACAATAGCCCAGCACGTGCGTTTTAAAACTTTGTACATTTCTTAGCCGTCCTTTGCAAAACAACAACGTGAAATCACCAAAATTTGCGTCGTCTGCGAAGCGAAACCGCGGCGGCAAATTATTTTAATTTGCATTTGGAACTCAACGCTACTTTTATGCGTTATGTTGAGTTTGAGGTCTGGCGCCCTATGAGACGGTAAACACATGCAGCCATTTTCGAAATTCTAACTAAAAGTAGAAACTCGTTTTTTAATCGACATCTTCCGTGGCGTTGCCGTCCTGACTGCTTAAAGTCCCTATTGAGCTGGGCGACTCAAACGCTCCAACCAACAGTCGAACCTGGACGATGAGGAATTCAGTGCACCGACCGTTAAAACACTGCGTCTCTCTCCCGTTTTTTAATGTAAGGTGCTCAGTAATTTTTTATATTTCAACGTAGAGGCTGTTACTTTGCTTGCAATTTCTTAAACCCAATATCTTACTTTGCAACGCAATTGCAATTACCCTAGTACTGTTCTCAAGGCCTTGTTAAGCTAGTCTCTTGGTTGACCGGTTGATTCGATTGCAACCCTGTAAAAACAAATTCGAAGATTAATTTCTCGTTGAATCATTAATAGAAATTCATCCCGTAATAATTCAGTTCTTTATTTTTTCGCACATTCTTTCTATTTCCCTTTTTTTTTTCCTTTTTCTTTCTTTTCAGTGTTGTGGCTTTGTTTCGGCAGCTCTGTTTGTCATGGATTCTGCGATTCTGTATAAGAAAATCAATGCCTGACGGAGATACCTTGTCGAAAAGTCCCTCTATTTTTCTTTAAATTAAACGTAACAGTGTTTTAAATAACAGAAGCTAGAAGAACGTAAGAGTATACATGATATGCCATTTAGAATGGAAGTGTGCTCACATGCATCTCCTTGGAAATTTTATAATTTTCTTGATCCAAGTACTTCCTCAGTGGCGCCAAATTTTCACGGTTAAATCGGTTTGTTGGCGCGTGATTTCAGAGTGACCATGGCGTTTTAAATGGGTTACGTCAATCAGTAGAATCATTATATGCGTCAGAGAGACTGCAGACTGTAAAAATAGAAGTATGTCCTAAAAAACAAGGAATATATATCTCAGCCATGGCGTGGAAAGTATATACAAGTATTCACTAATAATTGCGTGCTGCGACTCTAAAGAGTAACCTTACCATTCGAAAACCGTCTTCAAAGATTCGCTTATGAACGCCGCCATTTTGAGAACTGCTCAGTGCACACTTGGGATACAGTGGTACCTTTGGAGTCAAATTTTAACAGGAGACCGCCATCTTTAGAGCACTTCGGAAACCTGGCCGCATACGGGTGGTTAGTTAGTGGGTGAATCAAGTGTCATCAGGAAGCCACCATTTTGAGAGCGGCTCAGCAAACTGGCCACGTACGGGGGATACATTGGTATTTCGTTGAGAATTTTTAGCAGGATGTAGACAGCAATTTCCTAAAACTTGACTACTGAAAACGCAGGTGTTACTGAAGAGTCTCTTGAGGTGTTTAAGTCAACATTGGGCTAAAAGGAAAACCTTCTCAAAAATTAAACAAACAATAAATGGAAATTTGTTTGATGAAGAGGGCAGAGGAATCTAATTTTTTAAGAAATTACTGTCCTTCGTGGTTGAGAGATTCTGCTGTAACAAATTGAAAGAAACGGAAACTGTGTTAAGAATAAAACTGAGATATCCCATAAAAGTTACAACAGTGGTACTGAATTATGAGCAAATGGGACAATATGATCTTAGAAGAGAACTTCAGGCCTACTCTGGGACCTTAAATTGGCTTAAGTCGCCTTTAGTCGCCTAAAGTCGCTTTAAGTTGCTTTAAGTCGCTGTTGGTTACGCAATGTTATAAGGGT